AAAAATGGCGGCGTTTGGTGGATAATTCCTCCGGTACCTACGCGTTTACAATTTGTCAGTCTTTACTAGTCGTTTTTTAAAGACATTTCAGTTTCAGATAACTTTATAATGGTTGTTACGGATAACTATCGTCATTTCAACCGATTTCGGCTGGGAAACTACTTATTTTTAACTTGCGCACCAATTACGGTGCGCTCCCGGACTTTGTCTATGGAGGTATGCAGGGCTGTGGTGGGGACATCTATCAACCGAACGCGTCCCCGTACACACAGCACTGTACGCAGGGCTAGATTGGCATATACAATTGCATTCGGGGTGGAGCGTTAGAATTAGGGTTCAGTGTCCTAGAAACTCTGAGTTGGTTTGATTGTTGACGTCTTTAAAATGTTCCAGGCCTCTATAAGTTGTTACATACATTTTCTCTCATTTCTATAATTTGTAATTAGATGAATTACATCTTCTATCTTGTCTGGCACGGTCTGTTTTCCATTTCTATTTCCATTTTGGGTATATTATGTCTGCCATGTTTTATTTGCAGACTGTGTGATCTTAGTGTAATTATGTAAAAGCAATCTCCATTGTTTGTTAAATTTGGTGTATTCAGCTGCTGTGATTTGGTCATGCAATAATTTGTATGTTTGTTATTTTGAGTCTGGTCTGTTTGGTCTGGTTGTGATATGCTAGACTCTTCACTATAGGCAGCTTTTCTAATCACTGTTTCATGTGAATTATATTTTAAAATTTTGTAGTTTTTGTTAGTCTTTGGCTGATTATGTTCAGTCTTCACACATACGTCACACATTATATCAGATATACATTTGTATGCTCATGCATTTGTTTCATGATCCGATTCAAGATGGTGGAATGCTAGCCATTTTTAGTCCAAAAATGCATCAAAATTTATATTTCCACTCCCTGTGAAGAGAATAGTAATAACCTGTTAGTGTACACACATGGCTACAGTGGAACAAAACTATGTTATAATGACATAACAATCCTGGATGAAATAGAATTGGAAATGTTTATCAAAACTAATTATTTAAAAGTGGTGAAAGTTTTTTCGGTACTGTATATTATGATTTCATTATTTGACCACTGAACTTCACTAAGAGCTGTAAGTGGTTACTGTCCTCTGGTTCCATCACTAGATAGTATTTCACAACTTGTGTGGATTTCACTTGGCAGTGTTTTACAACTTTGGCTGATCCAATGTCATGGATTGAAATAATATTAGAACACATGTTTTTTGACCCTCGCGTACGAAGCACACGATGGGAGTCTTTGCAGTTAGTGTATGTGTGTGTGTGTCTGTTTCACTGATATCTCAGGAACCATATGTTGATTTTTGATGAAACTTGGTGCATAGATGCTCTGGGCTAATGCGCAGATTTGATTAGGCTTTGGTTGAAACCGTGCATATTAATTACCTAATTTGCATGATAATTAGCTAATTTTTGGATGTTCCATGACTGTTCTACTGATATCTAAAGAACTACTTATTGGATTTTGATGAAACTTGGTACATAGAAGCTCTGGGACTATGTAGGTACATACCTAATTAGTTTTGAATAAAAATCTGTGCATATTCATCATCTAATTTGCATAATGATTAGTAAATTTTTGGCTTTTCCACTGATATCTTGCGTACTAATCATCACATTTCAATGAAACTTAGTACATAAATACTCCAAGACAATCAGGGTTTTTCTAAACCGTGGAACGGGGGCGCAGTGCCCTGATACTCCCGATTGGCGCCCTCTTGCATATATTTCTTGAGCCGCGCACATTCGTGCAGCAGTACAACATGAAATCTTTCTCAAATATATTTTTCTTTGTGAAAACTTCCCAGCAGCACCAGCTGACAACAAATACACTAAAATTACTCCAAAAATATTTCAATGGCAATAGATACACCGTTAAAATTGAAACTTTCCGATATGACGTTTCCCCTTCCACATCTAAAAGCTAGTTAATTTTTAATATAATGTCTCCAATACTCTCAGCACACTGGAGTTCTTTCTAAGCTTTCTTTGATTTCTACTTAATCTCAGATGAAAGCTAGTAGAAATATACCTGACAGTGTGTTCTACCATAGTATGATCATATTAAGTGTCTGTCTAATGCATCATTTGTCATTCTTACATAGACCTCCCTTCCAGTCATGTATCCATGGCTACAAGATTCATAAATACAACTTCCTCATTACAAGCTAAAGACTTCTACAAAATTTTGGGAGTGAGTAACAATGCAACCCAAAAAGAAATCAAAAAAGCTTATTTTCAGGTGAGAATTGAGCTATTATTATTTAAGAATGAAAAAATATACAAAGTATCTGTAAACATTTCTAGCAAAAAGATGTTCATTGTGATTTTCTAAAATGAAACTTTTTCGTAACTTTTTCCACCATGTACAGAGCCTTTATTGTTGGATCATTCAATTTTATTACACTGGGATTTGTTTTACTCATTCTTTGAAAAATAAACTGTTTTTTTTTTCTGTTCCGCATATTGCCATTATTAATTACTAATTTTATTATTCACATTGCAGCTTGCCAAAAAGTTTCATCCCGATAAAAACAAAGGAGATAAAACTGCTTCTCAGAAATTTACAGAAGTTGCTGAAGCATATGAAGTAAGTGATGTCAATTCTCTTAAGTAGTTTTTTTTATTACTATTGTCAATTATGTAACAAATCGAAAAACTTGCTGGGTTGTCAACCAGATAGCTTTGGGTATTACTCGCACAATATTAATATCCACTTCTGAAAATCCAATGTCCAACACCACACCTTGCAACAAAGATGGCTTCATAGACTGAATTAAAGTCACTTTTAATTTAGAAGTCATTTGTTTTAAATATTTTCAGGTCTTAGGGGATGAGCAGAGACGTAGAGAGTATGACACGCTCGGTGCCACTGGCTACGCTGCTGGAGCCCAAGGAGGTGGAGGAGCCGGTCCGTTTGCTGGCTTTGGTCAATACAGTGCACATATTGATCCAGAGGAACTATTTAGGAAGATATTTGGAGACGCTGGGCTGAAAAGCGATTTCTTCAATGAGGACATGTTTCGCAGTAGTTTCAGAAGAACCACTGATGTGAGTTTTCAATATTTATATAGTTACTGTCAAAATCATGTCAGCTCATTCCAAGGATTATATCACACATAGCCGATATAATATTATATAATGTTATTACAGTGTTCTCCCCAGGCTCAGAGGCAAGCATGGCGGTCTAATTTGCATGCTAATTTGCATACTAATTTGCATATTTTTCAGGATTCACTCTCACAAAAACAAACATACAAGACAGTATTAAAATGTATGAGAGACTTTATTTAAATTACATAATACTTTACATAATATACCATAATTTGACAAAATCGTCATTTAATGTGAACTGTTCCATAAAACTTAGTCTTACTGTAGTTAAACTCGTCATAGACGTGCTTTGAGCATTAACTGCACAACATTCCTAGTGGGAAAAAATGAAAAATAATTAAAAAAAACAATGAGGATTGAGGTTCAAATAAATGTAAACATAACGATTGAATTGTGCCACGATCAGGAACCCAGTGTCGTATGGATAGTATTTCGTCTGCAAAACATGTTGTTTACATGTTGGTTTTGTCAGGTCAACAACAAGGAGACTCGAGAATTTCGAGGAAAAAAAACACGAGGTCACTATTCAATTAAAATTAAAACGTAACGAAAGAATTATGTATA